TAGGGAGGGAGGGGTTGGGTGAGGAGGGGGGGGGGGGGGGGGGGAAAAGTATGTGTTAGTTGCGAGCTCTAATTTCCAATTACACTCACAATTCTGCACCTGGTGAGAAATTCTTGCCTCCAACCTTGTCTGTGCTGCATGTTGATACTGGAGATAGTGGTTTGATTCTGGAAATAGCAAGCAGAGAAGGAAAAAAAGTTAATAGATATAATGAGGTCAAGTCCTTGATGTCAGCTTGATCCTAGGGGACGTGAGCACTAGCCAGTTATGCTGGCCCTGTGAATGAAAGTGGAAGATAGATGAGGGCTCTTTATTTACTAGGGGCATCATGTGATTTTTGAGACCCAAGGGAAAGCTGTAGAACTGGTATTTTCTCTCAGAGTCCACTGGCTAGTGATGATGAGAATTAGCCCCATTGAACATCTGTCCATCTGTCTTTCTAAGTGCACTCATCGTAATATGTAGGCTCATTACAGTGAGGGATGTTGCAGTCTCCTGGCCAAAGTCCATCCTATTTCTATAAATTCCCCCCCTTGCAGTTTTAATCACGCATGGGATCTTCCTTCACTTCCTGCCTGTCCTTGGCAACTGTAGTGTATTACAAGAGCCTAGACGGGGGAAACAGTACCCACGTACTAGTTTTTAGCATGCTTAAACTCTTTTACACTTCAACCCCAGGGAACTCCACTAACACACCTCAGTCCTTGGACTAGAGTGCGGCAGCTCCTCTGTCTTAAAGTCTTGAAAACAGGACTTGAGGTTAACTAAGCAGCAGGAGAAACTGTGAGCGTAGCAAACCAGAAATAACAGCCAGCGTTCGGACAATACCAGAGCAGCAATTAGAGGCAGGGTGGGATATGCTGAAAATTGAGGCAGTGATGATCAGCAGGCATCAGCCAGCCCACGATCCCCGGGATCAGGCTCGCTTTGAGCTTGAGGGATGAGCTGCTGGGTGGGAACAGTTGCAGCGTGGTGTCTTGGCAACTGCAGAGCTTGCCAGAGTA